AACCTCTTCTATAGAAGAGGTTAGAACTGGCAGGAACCAACCCCTGGTAGGGAGACACTGGAAGGCTTGTATATTCATTTTCCAAGTGAATATCTATGTTGCTCCTGTGGGATGAGAATCTAATAATGCTGAATATGCAAATAATCTTAGGAAAAGGACTGGTGCTCAGGACTTAAGTTTTTATTTTTTACCCAAGATTCAGTATATTTTTTATCTGAATATATTTAAAGTTCTGGTCCAAATTAATTCTGGTCAAGTCAAGTAGATTAAGTTTATCATGACAGAATATAAACCAAACAATGTGCTTCTAAAATTGCTTTGAGTAAGACAACTGCTATAGTTATTACTTCTTTTGTACAAAAAAGTGTGCATAGGTAAAATAGTCAAAATAGCACATTATGGAATTAGGTAATTGGACATGACTGAACATGTGGCAGACTGCAAGCTATTTTTGTAATAAGCCCTTCAGAGTGCACCATTCAGAATGTCCAAAACTGGAATCTGTCATGATCAATATACTAAGAGGTGATACTCAGTTTTCTTGAAGATATAGAAGAGGAAAAGGAATAAATCCAGCTCAGCTAAAAACTAAGTATCTTCTGCTCAAATGTCTTACCTATGCCCATTAATTATACTAGCTTACTGTTCACATTGATTTCCTTTGTAAAGCTGAACAGAAGCTGTTAAAGTTATAGACAGTTCCTATCAATTCCCTCACTTATTCCCACCAGACTTTTTTTTTACATATATAATACAACTTAAGCCCAGCTTTACTATTGCAACATGTATGTTGAGTACACATACATGTATATGAGTACATCTATATGCACATGTTTCTTTCATAACTCTTTCTAGAAGCTCATGTGTCTAGCTTGTTAACAACTTTGCAATAAAATAATGCAAAATTTCCAAAACAAGGAATGTATTTGCAGGTATTAAGATCTGGCATTGGAAGGTACTTTGCTCCAACATCAATGTTCTTGCTTTACCTATCAGCAGCATCTTAAAGACAATGTATCTATTAAGAATCTAGGAAAAGTAGTTGCCACCGGCCAATATAAAGTTATAGTAGTCATCCAGCAATGAATCCAGACCAATTTTCTTGCTTCAAGTCCTGCATACATCTAGGAATGCAATATTAGAAAAACAGGCTGCAAGTTTCCTGAGTTGTTTTAACTGTTCCTGCTGGCAGGAAAGGTTCAGTGTGAATGTAAACTCGAGGGACATAAAAGTACTTCCTGGTTTATGTTAAGACAGGAATCAAAAGAATCTAAGCCAGTCCCAAAACTCCTTGTCACAATTTCTCAAACGGGAACAAATATTTTGCTTCTCCTTTCTTTTCTCTCTTGCTCTTTTTGGTTGTTTTTCCTTTCCCACTCTGCTCCTCAGCTTGTCGATTTTGGGGCCAAGAAACAGCTACATCTTCAGCAGGTGTTTCTGAGTATGGTCCTTCTTCATCAGATGACAAACCAGATTCCCCTTCCATCATGGCTCTTGTCTCATTCTGGAAGAGAAAGAGTTAGAACAATACACTGATGCTGTGGAAGAATTCTCCTTGCATTGCAACAAAACTAGTAATTGACATTACAAATGCTGTATAAATCCAAATATACAGAATTTGTTTTCAGATTTTAACAATCCTCCTGCATCCAAGGGAAAAAAAATAATCAGCAGAATGCAAACTGTGCATTCTACATTTGCACAGAATGAAAAATATGATACATGAAATGCTAGGAAAAAAGAGAACTATTTTTTCTATTATTTTAGTCCCAAAGAATTCACTGTCTGAAATGGATGACCATATTTTTTCAATAAATAATATGATTGATTGTCAAAAGCTACTTAGCATTATCATAATATAATCCTGTTGATATTCATACTGTTGACAGAATTTATAATTGAACCCACTGTTAAGCAAACCTACAATCCTATTCAAGTATACTCTGAAAGCCCAATTATCCCTTTCTTTCAGATAACTTCACATAAGCAAACAAAACATTCAATTTAAAAATTAATGCATCAAGAAATAATGCCATCACTTGTCATTTCAAAAGTAATAAAAATGTATTGTTTCTATGCAGAAAGTACTTGTTCAAATGCAAAGTATGTTTATATCTTCAATGTTAAGAAATCTGTATTAACATTTTGTTCTTTCTCCAATCTGGGCACCAACTCCAGTGTCCAGACGGCCTCAAATAACTTCAGATTTGTGATCCATATATTACACAAATGTTTTGTTACCTTGGTAGAATAGCGCTTCTTTAATCTCTCCTTGATCAGAAGTCCCTTCACCAGCAGTTTCCAATTTCCCAGCACTCTCTTCTCCCGCTTCTGTTTTTAAAGTTTACCCAGAATTAAAACCAAAGGGCACATAATTAACAGTGCAGTTGGCAAAGTAGCATCTCTGCACATTACAGTATTGAAATGTCTTTGAATATTAGTAGCTCCTGTTGGTAGTTATGTTGTTGGTTTGAGCTCTGAGCTTGGCAATTTGATTGCAAACANAATATAATATAATATAATATAATATAATATAATAATATAATATAATTAATATAATATAAATATAATAATATAATAGTTGGGAAGGACATTGGATGTCTTCTAGTCCAACCCCCTGCTTAGGCAGGAAACCCTACACCACTTCAGACAAATGGCTATCCAACATCTTCTTACAAACTTCCAGTGTTGGAGCATTCACAACTACTGGAGAAAGGTTGTTCCACTGATTAATTGTTCTAACTGACATGAAATGTCTCTCCTCAGTTCTAAGTTGTTTCTTTCCTTGATTAGTTTCCACCCATTGCTTCTTGTCCAATCCTGAGGTACTTTGGAGAATAGCTTCGCTCCCTCTTGTTTGTGGCAGCTCCTGAGATATTATCCGATAAATTCCTTGTATGCTATACTCAGCATAAAAACAGAATTTCCAATGATGACATCAATGGCTAAAGGAGCAAGATGTGTATAGAAATTTCCAGGGGTCTGTCTTTCTTTTTGTATGTGAAAAATAGAACCTCTACCTCCCTTACTTTATCCTTATTATGATTACAACATAGCAGGGATCCAGCATGCTTTGCAAAGCCTTCTATCACTTACCTGCACCAGTTCCGCCTCATCTCGTGCAGCATAGACAGCAAAACGCCTCTCTATAGTCACCTGCCAATCTTCACTGTCAGAGAGCTGATTGTTAATAGTGAAAGTTGCAGAAAACCTTTATTTTAAAAACAAAAGAACCGTAATTTATTTATTTGCCCAGTCATTTATCTCTCCCATGGGAGCTGGAATAGACGGTAGGGAAGCTATCTCATTCTTACAGTTAAACTAAAAAGAAGACTCCATCACACTTACCTCCTTATTCTTGGACTAATCATAGTCACAGAAAGCCAGATGTTCCATTGTTGGACCCAAAATTCAATTAAAAAAGAAATGGAAAAGAAAAAAAACCCTTACCAATTCACAAGATTTGACAGAAACAGACGGTTGATGCGATCTACGGAGTCTTTGGTGAAGCGAATCGGAATGATAGAAAGGCCAATCGCTTGAAGATCTGGCTGAAGGCAGATCCTGTTCCTATGGAAACCGTTGGCCAATAGGCACAATAAGTGAACCTATTGGGAAAAGGACATGGATTCTAAAGAAACAAGCAGCTTTAGGGTACATCAGAGATACTGAAGTGATTTTTACAATTCAAGGGACAGGCCAATATAGGCCAGATCCATTCAGTTGGGCCTAGCTCTGCTCCCCCCACAACACCTCACTGGTTGACAGAAGACAGAGAAGCCACAAGAAATATACATTTTAAGCACCCAATCATCCATGTCACTGTACTGGTTAATTCCTGTTAAAAAAATATCTTGTTCCATTCTTTAGTCTAGGCATCCATCATCATTTCATGAAACAAGACCCGCATTTGGGCTTTTGATGGTATGCTGAGGCCAACCTCCCCCAAAATAGGCAGGGGCAGGGCAAACTATAGATGTACACCTCAATTTTATACATAATTAATTAATTATCATAAGTAACATCATTACTGCTCATACATTTAACCATTTCTTCTCATCCCCATTATATTAAATATTAGAATTGGATGTCAGCATTTGAAGGAGCTCCCAGGGCCAAGGTTTTGGGAACCTGGTGGTGGCTCTGAATTCTCACACTGCACATCCCTACTTTCCAAGACTGAGGAGAAGGGAGAAGAAGAGGAGGAAGAAAAAAGGACACAAAAATGCATATTTAGGAGACCATTTGTAGAGTTACAGTTCTTTCATGACTAACTGGAGTGAATGTTTGTTTTCAACCAAGGGGTGAAATAGCCTTATTTCTCTTCTCTCCTTGGATTATATACATTCATATTTTATATGAATTTCATAAACTTCTAGTATGCATAGTAGATGGTAATTTAACCCTCAGCCCTTAGCTAATACATATTCCAGGACAAACCCACCTGTTAAGTTTGCAGTGTTATAGTATGCGCTGAGATCAAAAAAGGTTTTCCTGTGTTCTTCTAATTATATCATGATGTATTGTGAGAGACTACAGGAAGTTAATATTCTCTGCCTCAAGTGTTATGATGTTTCCAGTGTCACATAGCTGAATTTTAACTGAATATCAGTTTGACAGTTGGTTTCTTTTTGAGGCTGTATTTACATCTGTTAGTGTTTTAACTGCTGAGTTTATTTTTAAGATGCATGTGGCAGTTGAATTCAAAAATGTGGTTTTAAATTTGCATTTAGAAATCATATGCCACTCTGAGCAAAGCAGCTGTACTAAACAGGTTTTTCAAATAAAATTCAGTTTTATTACAAAATGTGTAAATGCAATTAATCCCTTGAGTTATGTTTATTGAGTGCTAACTTAAAATACTGTTATATACACAGGAACATTTTTTAAACTCCTTCCAAAATTCAGGATGCTATTTTCTCCGTAAGAATATATTGAATTACTTTTTGGACATTACTAACGCATCTACAATAGATGTGTACTATTTATTTATTTGCATTCCCTCTTTATTATTTTTACAAATAACTCAAAGAGGCAAACATATCCAATACATCTTCCTCCTTCTATTTTCCCCACAACAACCCTATGAGGTGGGATGGGCTGAGAGAGAATGAAAGTCTCAGTCACACAGCTGTCTTTCATGGTTAAAGTGAGATTTTTAATCTCACGGTCTCTGCATTCTAGCCTAGTGCCTTAACCAGTAGACCAAACTGAGTCTCTTATGTTCCTCTGTTAATGTTCCTCCAATAGTAAAAACTGCTCAAAACTGCTGAAACAGTTGTGAAACATTCATACAGCAATAAGATCACTTTTCAGAAATGTGATTATGCTGAGCATGGAAGATTACTGATCAAGAATATTTTAACGGCATACTTCATTGTAAGTCTTGCCTTGAGCAGAGGCTTGATTAAATAGCAATAGCAATAGCACTTAGACTTATATACAGTGCTTTACAGACTTCTCTATGCAGTTTACAGCGTCAGCATATTGCCCCCAACAATCTGGGTCCTCATTTTACCCACCTCGGAAGGATGGAAGGCTGAGTCAACCTTGAGCCCGGTGAGATTCGATCTGCCAAACTGCTGGCAGCCGGCAGTCAGCAGAAGTAGCCTGGAGTACTGCATTCTAACCACTGCGTCACCGTAGCACCACCNTACTCTTCTGGAAGACGCTGAAGACTTAGTTCTACCAGTGGGCCTGGGGAACCCAGAGCAGGATGGAGCCCATTATATGGCTCGTGTGATCTGCTGTTACTGGGGCAGGGGATGATTTTATTATTTGATTCTTTTTATTAATTTTATTGTTTTAAATATGGTTAGCCGCCTTAAGTTGCTATGGGCAAATAGATGGCAATATAAATTCAATAAATGAATGAATGAAGAAATAAAAACCAGGTTAATCCACCTTTGTGAAAGTGGATGGTAAGGAAGGGAGCAAGTGCTGAGCTCTTACTATTTGGGATTCGGCAACTAAGTTGTTAATTCTGCTTTTCTGTAATATTATCCATAACCATGTATGCTAAGTAAATCCAACACAACTGTATTACTAAGTAGCACAAAGGACCATTGTATATCCTAGTAAAATCAGATAGTAAGTTTATGACTTACACAGGATGAGAGTAACCACCATGAAAATCAAATCCTGTAACAGCTGGAACACAGTCAATATCTAGTTTACGGGCCACTCTATGAAGGCTAGGAAGATTTAGCTGCACACAGCCTATTGGTAACATGCAGGGTTGGAAGAGATAGACATTCCCAAACTCATTCCGAGGAACCTAAAAGAGAAGTGGAATGGAAAAAAAAAATGGAACAACTTATACTGAAATAAACTCTGTGGAAGAATAGAGCTTAAAACCTACCCAATCTACCTAATTGCCAGCTTACCCTTCCATCAACAGCCAGAGGTGGCTGGTATTTCTCAGTCTGCCAGAGACCAAACAATGGCAAATCCATTTTGTCCCGATTTGCAGCTTCTGCCATTCGTGCTTTTCTCGCTTGGTTGGAACAACCTTTCACCATCTGTGCTAACACAATGAGTTTAGAGTGGCGTCATCATTCTTTCTTGCTCATAATTCTCAAAGCAATGATCACAGCCTCTTCCACAGGGAGAAACATGTAGGAGTTGGCTATGTGCATTAGGAGTTTGCCCATCTCCTTAAGAGTAAGAAGGACTTAAATTTCCAACATCGCCCTCGCAGAATTTGTCCATAAAAATCCATTAAACCAGAATAGGTAGTGTTGAGACTGTCAGTACTAGTAAATCTGTAAACCCTTCTTACTCTGGTCTACCTTTTGGTCTGAACAACCATGCCTCTAATGTCAACAACAGCAGGATAAAACTATCACTCTTCCATCCCACCTGTTGGAATTGTGTACTATCTACTGTAGTTAGCCACAAAAAAAGCAAAACATAGATGACACGCAAAAAAAATGCTTTAATCTGACTCCAAAGAACTTTAAAAAAAGTTATTCAGCTTCAAAAGTTTTATATATAAATATTTCCTGACACAAATTTTGACATTAGCCTGAAAAATATTGTTGCTGTCACTCTACCTTATAAGGCACTTCTCCAATCCTCACCACTCGAGCTTGTTTCAACCAGGTGTCTTTGGAGTGCAAGGTATGGATACAGTCTCTGAAATTAGTCAAATACCATTCTTGGTAAATAATATAGCTTCATATAGGTAATATTCACAATGAACTATGTATTAGATAATATGCAATAAAGAACAATATACAAAATGGCTCACTTTCCTCTCAATGCTTACTTGCAAGAAATCCCCATACTGTGTTTAATGCAGGGATGGGAAAGACTGGGANTCCATTGGGACTCACCCCACATGGATGTCTAGCTTACCTTCTCTCTCTTTTCTTGGATTGTTCAGGTGTTTCAATTTCTATCTCAACAGTTGTGCTGGGAAGCTTTGGTGCCTTAACTTCTTTCAGCATCTCGATCTCAGGTTCACAAATTTCTGGAAACAAAGGTTTAAATCTAACCAATGTGTTTCAAACAGTATCAAACAGTTCCAGTTCAGGGCTGCTTCCCATATGGTTTCAATGTCAGAAAATTAAGATACACGAAGGCATAAGAATATGACAATTTATGAGTATTTCTGAAACATGTTTTGGCAACAAGCTAAATAGTATGTGCCTATCAATCTAACAAATATTTTGCCTATCAATCAGGCAAATATCACATTGTTTTATGAGTCACTCTTCCCCAACTGGGTGCTCTAATGGACACTACTGGCTTTGCTAGTTAGGAAGCTATATTTCCAACATATATGTAAGACATCAAATTGGAGAAGACATTTATAATTGTCTGTTATGGCACATAACCCATGTCACATCGGAAAACTAGTATTTAATGCATATATGAGCCAAGGTGGCACAGTGGTTAGAATGCAATATTGCAGGCTAATTCTGCTGACTGCTGACTGCCAGCAGTTCAATTCTCACCAGTTCAAGGTTGACTCAGCCTTCCATCCTTCCAAAGTTGGTAAAATGAGAACCCAGATTGTTGTGGGCAATATGCTGATGGGTAAACCACTTTCAGAGGGCTGTAAAGCACTGTGAAGCAGTACATAAGTCTAAGTGCTATTGCTATTTCCTTCTGTTCTAACACCAACCCAACAGCCATGTCTAGCTCATAAGGAATCATTATTATATGAGGTAATCCTTTATTAAGCAACATTGTTCGGCATGAAAAATAATGATTATAGAAATGTTGTATGTAAAATATGGGTTCATCTTTTACTTATTTCTAGATTTCTAAGGATTTTTATGAGGAGAAACTAAAGCACAGTTCAGCATCAGAATGAACTTACTATATGTAGTCCTTGATTTGTTTAGTGTCTATTCAAAGTTGCAGCAGCATGAAAATAGTGACTTATGACCAGTTCTTACAGTCACATGTGACTGTTGCAGCATCCCTTTGGTCATGTCATCAAGTTTGGGTGGTTGGCAAATGGCATTTATTTATAATAGTTGCATTCTCCCCGGGTCATGTGATCACCATTTGCGACCTTCCCAGCTGGCTTCTGTTAAGTCAATGGGGGAAGCCAAATTTGCTTGAGTCGCTTAACTCAAGGTCATAAAATCAGATACGATTCGCTTAACAATCACCTTGCCTAGCAATGGAAATTCTGGTTTCAATTGTGGTCATAGGTTAAGGACTACTTTGATGCATTTTTCATGCTTCCTCCCCTTTATATCATCTTTTTTCATTTTTAATTAATCAATTTATTGTACCATCTTAGATTGGATAAACTACGACTAGTGGAAACAAATCACAAAATGGTTATTGTAAGGGGAAAAAATGGGTGGTGGAATCACTATGCAGATTGTCTTGAGCTCCTGAATAAAAGGTGGGATCTAAATTATTTTTATTTCTTTTTCACATTTTTTAACCGCCCATCTCTCTCGGAGTTCTAAATTTAATAAAGAAAATTGCTTTAAAATTATTATTTAAAACAGTGCTATGTTTTCATTACTTGTAGCTAAGGATGATCTTTGTGAAAGAGAGGGTTGACATGCTAAATGAAAGTTTCAGCAACATCAACTTCCAGATAGTTCCTTCATCTGATTTGCAACTGGAGAAACAATATAGGTAAAGGTAAAGGTTCCCCTCGCACAAATGTGTATTCGTTCCCGACTCCAGGGGGCAGTGCTCATCTCCGTTTTAAAGTTGAAGAGCCAGCACTGTCCGAAGACGTCTCCGTGGTCATGTGGTTGGCATGACTAAATGCCGAAGGCGCACAAAACGCCTTCCAACCAAAGGTGGTTCCTATTTTTCTACTTGCATTTTTTTTAATGTGCTTTCAAACTGCTAGGTTGACAGAAGCTGGGACAAGTAACGGGAGCTCACTCCATTACATGGCACTAGGGATTCGAACTGCTGAACTGCTGACCTTTCTGATCGACAAGGTCAGTGTTTTAGTCACTAAAAACCTTTCTTCCAGATGTTGCAGAGTAACTAATTCAATAAGTAAATTATAGAGAACTATATTGTGGGATGCGAAATGAAGAATGTGTTACCTTCCACATCTTCCCATTCTTCCTCACTTTCCTCATCCTCTTCTTCTTCTTTCT